AGGGGGGGGCCCCGGAAGCAAAACCCGGTCGGACCCATTAGAAACCATTTAAGATCCATAGGGCAAGGGAGAAAGGAGAAGGGCAGGTTATTAGGGAGCCCAACCCCCCTCACGGCGAAGGGGGGCAGGGTTGCCAGACGTTCCTGGTTGTAGGTGCCCCCCACACCCGGGTGGTTTCGGCCGGGGGGTCCTGGGCGGGCAAACGCCCGCCCCGGCGGCCGACTCTGGGATTGTAGGTCGAGTCTTGGTGGTACGGAGACGGTCACGAGACGGGACGGCCGGGACCTCCGGACTCTAGGACGACGCCACGGGACTCTAGGAGAGAGAGAGTGTGAAGGGAGTCTGGGCGGGGCTTCGGCCCGACGCCCCCCCCCTCGACGAGTCGACGTACGGCTCTAGTCGAGTAACCGTAACTCGCTTTGTCAATCACAATCTCTTCGGACCTTTGATGTGAGTCAGGTCGGAGTCCATCGGCGGAGTCGTTGACATTGTGGTCGACGGGGTGCGAACCGATAGCGCAGTGGCGTGTGTCGGCGAGCGAGCCGCAAGCGCGCGCAAGAGAGAAATCCCTCGATGGATTGGTCGACATTGTGGTCGAGGGTATGCGAACCAATTGCGTAGCGGCGTGTGTCGGCGAGAACCCGTCCGGGTCCAAAATCCCCCCCTTCAATGTAGTCGCGAAGTTCTGGAGGAGATCGACTGGTCGCAGCTGCGGGTGACTGGCTGACTGATCGCCTTCTGGACTCTTCATGCAAGTTACATTGGAGCCCATCTGCGGAGCGTTGGAAGTGGCCGAGGTGTCTGACCGGGTAGGTCGGTGGCGTAGCTTCGGCACCCGGTGTGGCCGGGGTATGGTAGGCTGGCGTCGTTGCCCTCGGTGGCGCGCGAGTTGGCGGAACGGAACAAGGGGCATGACGTGGGTGGCCATACGTGGGCCGTAACTGGAGGTGGAGCACGGCAAAGTGATGCACGGCTGATGGAAGCGGGGCCGAGCATCGAGTGCGGTTGGAATTTGGCGAGAGAATGGATTGCTGAGCCCTGGTGTCGAGGTGTCGAGGCCCGGTGTCGAGGGTGTCGAGCTGCTGTCGAGGGATAGAGGTGTCGAGGCCTGTCGAGGCCTGTCGAGGCCTGTCGAGGCCTGTCGAGGCTGGGACCAAGCTTGTCCGTGTCGAGGGGTGTCGTGAAGCGCGCCAACCACTCCGCCATCATTTGCGGGGTGATGTTCTTTCCCTCGAGCTTTGGGATGTCCGCGTCGTACGTGCGCGTGACCTTGGCTGAGAGTGAGCCCCGTGTGGCTCCACCCTCATTAGAGAGGGCATTGCGCAGGGCCGTTGCGAAATCGGTCATCGCCTCTTCATGGCCCGTGCGACTGGCGGTGGCGAAGGCAGCAATCATCGCCTCCCTTTCAGCTCGGGCGGCGGCAGCGCTAGCCTCTCGGTCAATGCGGGTAGCCGCCGCATTGGCGGCTGCGATGGCTGCAGCGATCTGATTAATGTCGATTTGCGACGGCAGTTGCGCCGGGTTTGCATCCTGCGGTGGCGCCTGCGTCGGTGGTGCCCCTTGCGGCTGCGGTGGCTCTTGCGCCTGCGGTGCCTCTTGCGGCTGTGGGGGCTCTTGCGCCTGGGGTGCCTCTTGCGGCTGTGACTCTCGGTCTCGATCCTGGGTTGGCGGCTGGTCCCGATCCAGTGTTGGCAGTTGTTGCGCCTGTGATGGCCCTTGCGCCTGAAGTGGCTCTTGCGCCGGTGGTGGCTCTTGCGCCTGCGGTTGTGGCTCTTGCGCCAGGTGCGGCTCTTGCGCCTGTTGTGGCTCTTGCGCCTGTTGTGGCTCTTGCGCCTGTTGTGGCTCTTGCGCCTGTTGCGGCTCTTGCGCCTGTTGTGGCTCTTGCGCCTGGTGCGGCTCTTGCGCCTGGTGCGGCTCTTGCGCCTGGTGTGTTTCGGCATCGCGTGCTGCAGTGCTCCGCGTGCCAACAGTGTTGCCATGCAAGGCGTGCATGTACTTGTTCCACGATTTGTGGGATATCGCCCAATTGTAGGCGATGACACCGGTTCGGCAACCGGTAATGGCGTATTGAAACGCGTCGATCAGGACGCATCCGCCGCTACCACGCTGCGCGAGCGCGGGTGGCCCCCTCCCCGCCCTTGGGCTTGGCCGCGGGGCGGACGACCGGACCGCGGCTTGGCGCGGCGAGCGAGGCCGACCACGGGGATGGGGGCCGGTGAGGATGGATAGCGTTCGTGTTGTTGGGCTCATGAACGGGAGGGCGGCACCCCCCGGTGGCGCTCCGGCCGGTGTGCGCTTGGGCACGTGCAGTTGGATTCGGGTACTTTGCTGGTATGGTATCTGTAAATAAGTGGAGTATTTACTTTCACACCCCTTGGGGTGTTCACGACCACTTGCGGTCATTACGCACTTGTGCGTTCACGCCCCTTGCGGCGATCGTTTCACAGTCTCATCAACCGTTCAGAAAACTAAAATGCGCCAACCCCCCTGACGAGTAAGGACCGAACTATGCCAGCCCTCTTGTGGCTTCGACGCACACGCTACTTCAGCCACAGAGTCTAGGACAGGTCCATTAAGACTTTTCAGTCGTGGGGGTGGCTTTTGTTATTCCTTTCCGGTTTTATCATGACCGACCACAACCACGTCCGCCGTGGTTGCCACTACCACGTCCGCCGTGGTTACGTTCGACTCTATGAGTCGTGGTTCGACTCTATGAGTCGCTGGTTCGATCATGAGTTGCCACAACCACGCCCGACGTGGTTGTGGTTGCCACGCCCGTTCCCCCCAGGTTCGTCAAGCGCCCGCCGTTCGAGTTCGGCGATTGGAGCGGGGTTGATTACCCGTGTGTAGGTGTGAACGGGGACGTGTGCTCCCTGGGAACGAGCAGAACACCCCCTCAGTGACTAGCCGATCCGCATCACATCCTAGTCGCTGGCGCTACACGGCTCGTCCCTAACCTGTAGGGCTAGTGCGGCCTCCCTGATCCATCTGGCTCTCCGTTCGGCTTGGTCTGCAGT